CCCCACAGCAGAGATTGAAGGCATTACAGGGCTAAAGGCACTAAGATACCTCTGGGTGCTTGATGTTCACAGACTGCATAAAAGGGTGCTAGATATCCTGGAACTTGAGTTATAGACAGCTTGTAAGCTGCCATATGGGTGCTGGAATTCAACCCAGGTCTTCTGAAAGAGTAGTAAGTGCTCTTAACTTCTGAGCCATCTCACCAGACCACGTTTTACTTAGAAAAACGGTGTTTTGCCTGCAACTATGCCTGTGTACCAAGAGTTCCTGGTGCCTGTGGGGGCCAGGTCGTATCTCCTGGACCTGGAGTTACAGATAGCTGTGAGCCACAATGCAGGTGCTGGGAACTGAACCAGGCTCCTTTGGCAAAGCAGTAAATGTTAGTATTTATTTAAAAATGATGCCAGGCACACAACAGGTATTATATGAAAGAGGTTTATTAGATGGAGATGGAGAAAAAGAGAAAGAGACATGGTGAGCAGAGTGGAGAGAAATCGAGAGGGGAAGAGCAAGAGAGCAGAGAGCTGGGGAGTGGCACACAGGTCACTCTGTGCCTGGCCCAGATGATGTCATAGGACGCAGGTACGGACATAGGATGTTGTCAGGACCCTAAATGTCCCTAAGGGAAGCCAGCTGAATTGCCTGCTCAACCTAACAGCAAGTTCTCTTAATAGTTAAGCCAGCTCTCCAGCCCCTGGATCCAAAGACCCTTGACAGGTTCCAGCTGAGGAAAATTTCACCTAAGTAGCTGGGGCTACATACCTGAGTCACAGAGTAGGGGGGCTTTTGGCTTGTCTTAGTTTGGGTTTTAGTGCTGTAAAGAGTCATCATGACTATGTCAACTCTTCTAAAGGACAACATTTAATTGGTGCTGGCTTATGGTTTCAGAGGTTTAGTCCATTATCATCATGGCGGGAAGCATGGCAGTGTGCAGGCAGACATGGTGCTGGGGAAGGAGCTGAAGCTCTGCATCTTGATCTGCAGGCAGCAGCAGGAGACTGTGTGCCACATTGGGCAGAGCTTGAGCATAGGAGACCTCAAAGCCTAACCCTGCAGTGACACAGTTACTCTAACAAGGCCACACCCCCAAACAGTGCCATTCCCTATGGGCCAAGCATTCAGTCACAGGAGCTAAGGGGGCCACACCTATTCAAACCACCACATGGCTTTTTCTGTAGTCACTACATTAGCTGTGAGGTCCCACCACTTCCACCCCTGCTCACTAGAACTTTGATGAATCAACTTAAAATCTTCAACATTTTGAAGCCTGAAATACCAACAATAAACACTGTGCTCAAAACAAATGTTTCCTTCCAGCTTAGGCCCCCCATACATTATAGTGGCCCGGTGACAGTCATTACTGAAAAAAAAAAAAAAAAGGCAATTCATTCTCACCTTTTCATTTCCAATCCCAGCTTCCCAGCTTTAGGAATCTCACATTTAAAGAACAAATTCCTTAAGTGAAAAGACTGTGGTAGTGTTGCTCTTTCTGATGAGTCTCCACCCAATCTCAGCAGCGGAAATCAATAATTTAAATTGCCATTTCTTCTGGGTATTCTCACTCAGCACTGAGTACACAATAGTGTTGACAGCGCAGTGGAAGATGGCCTAGAAAGTCCCCTCTGTGACTTTCGGGCTGCTTGATTTGGTTTCTTCAAGAATGTGTTGGAAAATTAGTGGTATAGACTCTTTCCTTCACTGAACAGCTACTTAAACTTCCCAAGAGGGATGATCTCAGTAGTTTAGAGCACTTGATTTTGCAGAGGACCAGGGTTGAATTCCCAGTACAACATGGTGGCTCACAATCATCTGTGTGCATGCCTTTATTCATGTGAGATCAAGGGCAATATAAATCTTGGGCAGAGGAAGGGGTTTCGAGAGTGAATGTGTTTGATTTGCTGGGGTTAGATGTCAGGGATACTTTTTTTCTTTACTTTTAGATGTATGTGTGTGTGTGTATTTGTGTGTGTGTGTTTTTTGTTTGTTTGTTTGTTTGACAGGATTTCTCTGTGTGTAGCCTAGCTGTCCTGGAACTAGCTGAAATTCAGGCTGGCCTCAAATTCAGAGATCACCTTCCTTTGCCTCCCAAATGCTGGGATTAAAAGTGGCCACCCACTACCTAGCCATATTTATTTTATGAGTGTTTTGCCAGCATGTATACACATGTACTACATACATGTCTGGTGCCTGGGGAGGCCAGAAGAGGGCATCAGATACCCCAGAACACAAGATATGGATGGTTGAGTCACCATGTGGGTGCTGGGAACCAAACCCCGGTCCTTGGCAAGAGTAATCAGTGTCTTAACTGCTGACTCTCTCCAGTCCTTTCAGGTTTTTCTTGTTTTTATTTTTGTTTTGAGACAGGGAGTTCTGGAGCCCTGGCTTTCCTAGAATTCACTATGTAGACTAGGCTGGCCTTGAACTCACAGAGATTTACCTGCCTCTGCCTCCTGAGTGCTGGGGCTAAAGGCGTGCACCACCATATCCAGCTCATTCTTTTAGAAACTTGAGGCAGGATCTCATGTAACCAAGGTGGTGTCAAAGTGGTCAACCTTGAAACCATATACAGCTCAACAACACAAACAGACCCAGCTGGAGCCAGGCCCGTGGTTACACACCTTTAATTCCAGCACTCTGGGAGGCAGAGGCAAGAGTATCCCCAAGGGGTTGAGGCCAGCCTGGTCTACAAAGCAAGTCCAGGACAGCCAAGGCTACACAGAGAAACCCTGTCTCAAAAACAAACAAAAACAGACCCAGATGGTTGGATTTATATACTATTATATTTATATGTATTTATGCATACATCTATCTATATATAACATTCATAAAAAAACAAAGCTATCACATTGAGATACACATCGGGGACTCATGAAAGGAGAGCTGGGAGGGGCTGGAAGGAGGAAAGCATTTTTAAAAATCTTTAAAATTGGTGCTAGAGAGATGGCTCAGCAGTTAAGAGCACTGGCTCTTCTTCCAGAGGACCCGGGTTCAATTCCCAGCAACCACATGGCAGCTCACAACTGTTTGCAAATTTGTTCATTTGTTTTTCGAGATAGGGATTTTTTGTGTAGCTCTGACTATCCTGGACTTTGTAGTCCAGGCTGGCCCTGAACTAGAGAGATCCACCTGCCTCTGCCTTCCTGAGTGCTGGGATTAAAGGTGAGCATCACCAATGCCTGGCTATAAGTTTTATTTTTTTAAATCTGTAAAATTGCAAACAGATAAAGATAGCTTAAAAGCTGGGTGGTGGTGGTGGTGCAAGTGTTTAACTGTAGCACTCAGGAGACAGAGACAGGCAGATCTCAGTGGCAGGACATTTGAACTGTAAAACCCTCTTCCTAATTGTGGTAGAGGGCTAATGTAAGGTACTTGCTGTCAAGCCTGAGTTCAATTCTCAGGACCCACAAAAAGAAAGGGGAGAACCAACTCCCCAAAGTTGTTGCTCCAGCCTTCCTAAAGGAATTGTGGTACACATCTCCATAAGCAAACAAATACATGTAATTAAAAAAAAAATTGGTACAATGCTAGGGCTACCCATCGCTTAGGTTTCAAACAAGAAATAGGAACCACAGGGAAAACTCTGTGGTCACCCAAGTGACCGGGCTGACAGAAAGGCTGGAAGCCCAACAGGAGAAATGAAGCAATCCAAGAATGCACAAAAGAGCTTGAGCCTCAGCCTCATCTGCTGCTCAAAGGGAGTTAGAAAGAACTAAGGCAGAATGAAGGGAGGGAGAATAACAGTCTTCTTTCTTGCCTTCCGGGCTCCAGTCACTATCTCCCAGCACCCAGTCCAGGCCTGAAGCCTGCTGTCTCTGGCCAGCCCACTGCAAAACAGAATAGAGGAGCACAGGCAAAGGATGTGGCCCCTGGGCAAAGAGCAAAGACCAGCGTTTAGGTAGGAATTAGCCAGACCTAGGAAATAGCTTTATTTGGGGTATCTTTAAAGTACTGGATATATTTCACAGTAACAGAAACTTCCTCATAACGTAGCATACACCTTTAATCCCAGCACTTGGGAAACTGAGGGAGGAGGAATCGTTCCAGGGCAGCCAGGGTTACACAAATTCCAGGCCAGGCTGATAACAAAATGAGTCCTTGTGTCAACAAAATAAAGGCTGGTGATACAGTGGCTGGTTGCTAGGTCTGCCCAAGGCGCACACACACAGAGAAATACTGTACATAAACGGTTTATTTCTCTTCTCCTGTCCTAGCCTCCTAGATCATCACGAACTATTGTCTCTTGGCTGATATGGTTCCAGACATTTTTGCTGTTTCTCTGCTGAAATCTTGTGTGTGTGTGTGTGGGGGGGGGGGTCCACAGAAGTGTAAACGCCCATTGTGACAGCCTTCACCCAGCACACGAATGCCAAGCAGCAGCGCCATGGCAACCGCATCTCGGTCTCGGAGGTTCTGAGTAGGAGGGTGGAAGGGGGGATATACTGTTCCTGGGAAAAGGCCACACTCTCTGGACTCACGTTTTTTAAAAGCAGAAAGGATATCCACCGGGAAACGGTTTACACACGCCCACACGCCACCGGTCCTCTTCATCTTCTAGAATCTTTGTTTAGAAGGATCCAAAGTGATTTTTTTCCCCCGAGAGTGTCTGAACTAGCAGAAAAGAAAAAGGCGCAAAGGAAATTAGAAGAGATGCTGTCCCCACGCTTCTGAGCCTAGGTATCTTTCCCACACCCCCGCTGCTTTTTTTTCTCGTCTGTGATGCCTTCCCGGGCGGCTAGTCAAGGGAAAGCCAAAAGCAAGATGCCGTGCAGTCCTGCAGCACTTCTTTGTCGAGGGCTGGTGGGGCCGCCCAGGCGGGTCTCTAAGGCTGCGGACGCCCCTCGCAGGGCGACTCCAAGCTTCGGCACGGCGCAAAGAAGCCAGCCACACGCAGCCCCCTGGGTTCGGGCCCAGACTCGTGCCTGGGGCGGAGCGGGGGGCGTGCCCTAGCGTTGATTGGCCATCTCGGTCAAGGGGCGGGGCTGCTGGACGGGCGCTGACAATGAGCGTCCATAAAAGGGAGCGGCGGGGTCGGGGTCCCCGGATCGAACCCTCCCCTCCCGGGGTCGTGACGAGCTGAAGCCTGTAGCTGGCGGGGCGGCTGGGCGGGCGGCGGGCGAGCTGCGTGGGCCGCGGGCCCGCCGTGGTCCCGGACGGGTGGCGGCGCGCCGAGGCCTGCGCGCCCGTCCTCCGCTCTCAGGTCGCCCTTCCCCGCCTTGCCATGGCCCTGCGGGCCGAAGGCGCCGCGGCGCTTGACTGCTTCGAGGTGACGCTCAAATGTGAGGAAGGGGAGGACGACGATGAGGCCGTGGTGGTGGCCGTAATCCCGCGGCCTGAGCCGATGCTCCGAGGTGAGGTGGGGGGGGCTTCACTTCCTCATGGCGGCCGGGGCCTCTGCCTCCCGGCCCCGGTCCCGGTCCGCGGGCGCGTCTCCGGGACGGCGACTGCAGCCCCCGCGGGCCCTTCCCGGTCGGGTCCGCGTCAGGCGCGCGCCCTAGCTCCTCCCCTACCGAGGTTTGGAATCCCAGGCCTCTCGGAGCCCCGCTTTCTCCGTCGCCCCTCCCCCGCTCGGGGTCTAGAGACTTCCATCCACACCGAACGAGGGCTCCGGGTCTTCCGGTTCCCTGCGCCCCCCCCCCCCCCCCCGGGCCCAGGGTAGAGGCTGGATTCCCAGGACAGTGGTTTGTGCGCGGTCGCTGTCCCCCTGTTCCGGTCTGACTGTGTCCTAGGCCGAGGGGCGACCAGGCCTCTAGGCCCCAGGCTACCGCCGAAAGGATAACAGAGGTGAAGCCTGGCCATCTCCACTGAGGGGAATTTTAAGAGGCCAGCAAATAGAACCCGTTCTTCACCTCTCCCCCCATCCCCAGGCCTTGTCTCAGGAGCCACAGGTGTCAATTCTAGAACCCAGTAGTTGGATGGACTGGCAAGCAGCACCCAGTTTGAGAAAAGGAAGACCTACTTGGGGGTTAAGTACTAAGCCATATAGATGGAGATTAGTCACCAAAAAATGCAGTTAGGGACCACCTTCCCTTCTCCCTTCCTCTTTCCCAGCTTTTGTCCAAAGGAGAAAACAAAGAGCTACCTACCTCTATGAAAGACAATTAGTCGTGAAAATGCAAAAATTTTCTTTCGGTGGAATACCGGGTTTCCCTTAAGCAAGACAGTGCCCAAAACAGATTGAGAACCGGGTCGTTCATTGTGTTCCTTGAACTTAAGGATTTCCTTGTCCCTTTTGGAGATGGGAGGGAGAATTAGAAAATTTGAGATACAAAGGCCACATACCTCGCAGTGTTTGGCGCATCACACAGGTTATTTTCCGCTTGTGCTGGAGTGCTTGCTCTGCTACTGTCAAAGGTTCGACGTTAATCCATTCGCCATACCTGCCAAGGTGGCCTCATAACTGTAAGAAGGAAACAGACATTTACAGAATTCAGTCTTCAACCATTTACTTTATTGGGCAGCTATGTGCCAGGCGTTATTTTAGGCAGAGATAGGGGTGGTAATGGTGATGGGGTAAATGAAACCCTCCTTGAATGGACATCCCAGGGGCACCCAACATGTAAATTGAACTGTAGTGTGTTAGGTAGCAATGAGTTTTTTATTATGTGTGTGCATGCAAGTGACACACACACAAAGAGGTGAGGACAACTTTTGGGAGTGAATTCTTACACCCTGTGGGATTGAATTTGGCTGATCAGGTTTGGCAGCAAGAGCTTTTTGTAGCCCAGCCATCTCTTTGGCCCAGCAACCAGTTTTATAGAGACTGCAAAAGCTGAATAAAGAGAAATGGGTATAGTAAGGATATGTTTCTCTGAACCAGAAAAGTGTCTCTAGTAAGAATAGAAGGAAGAGGACTTAGAAGAGCGAGTGTAAAGATTCTAGATGCCTCTGGGCCTATGTGCAAGGATTTAGAAAGATCTGGGTTATGAGAAAGTGCATGATTTCAAAGTTTTGTTCTTTGGGCTCAGTGTGATGATGCACACTTAATTCTATCACTCTGGAGGCAGAAGAAGCAGGCATGCCTCTGAATTTCATGTCATCCTGATCTACATAGTTGCAGGTCAACCAGAGGTATAGTGAGACAGTGCTTTTGTTTGTTTGGTTTTGTTTTGTGGTTTGTTTATTTGTTTTGTTTTTTGAGACAGGGTTTCTCTGTGTAGCCTTGGCTGTCCTGGACTTGCTCTGACCAAACTGACCTCAAACTCACAGGTTCACCTGCCTCTCCTTCCCAAGTGCTGGGATTAAAGTGCTGAGACAGTGGGCTTTTTTGTTGTTTGTTTTTGGGGGCGGTGCAGAGAGTACAGGAGCTCAGTGGGAGAGGAGCGAGAAAGAGCATATGCACTAAATGGGAATCAGGGGGCATTTGGAGCCTCCAAGCCCAACCCTAATCAAGAAGTGTTGGTTGGTGCACACCTGTAATCCCAGCACTTGGGGAGGCAGAGACAGTCTGATCTCTGTGACTTTGAGTCCAGCCTAGTCTACAACATGTGTCCAGGACAGCCAAGGCTACACAGAGAAACCCTTACCTCAAAAAAAAAAAAAAAAAAAAAACCAAAACAACAGACAAAAAGCCAAGCCTACCCCTAGTTATCTGCCACCTCTAACAAACCACACCTTCTAGCCCTTCCCAAACCATTCCACTAAGTGTTGTGAGCATTTGTGAGTATCGGGTCTTTTGGGGCCACTCTCACTTAAACTACAACAGTTCTCTTCTCTGAAAGTTTACCGGTACAGACAGGGCCTTGAGAAGCCCTGTGGAAGATTGGGAATAGGCTTTGAATATGGTTAAATTCAGTGTCCCTTACAGGCTCCAGCAGAGTGGTTAGCTAAGCAGTTGGATATCTACATTTAGAATTCTCTCAAATGTCTTGGCAAGGTATTAATATGAGTTGCCAGGCCTGATGAGCAGGCTTGTAATCTGAGTTACTCAGAAGGCTGATGCAGGAGGATAACATTCTCTGCCAGCCTGGTTAGATCTTGTCTCAAAAAGTTAAAAAGATAGCTGGAGATAGAGTTCATTGGTAACACACTTGCTAGATAACAAGGAAAAGTATGTGGCCCTTCACTCAATCCCCCTGCTACTGAAATAAATATTGGAGTTGTCAGCAGGCAACAGGTGATACTTCCCAAAGGGAGGAGGTCAGAAGGGTTTGAAGGGCTAAGGTCAGTCGCTTGTTGTTGATGTCTAGTACCGTTGGTGCGCTTGAGATTTAGACACAAAGCAAGAATCTGTTGAGGGCCTGTGCAGTGCTGTGGAGGAAACATGCCACAGAGAGGAGTGGGGTGGGCAGCAGGGGAGGCTGCAGCTCCTGCAGGAAATTGAGAAGATAGGATTCATGGCGATCTTCAGGAGGGAAGGGAAAGGAACCTATGTAGGTAGCAGGAGGAGGAACAGGCAAGTAAGAGAAAGGAGGACAAGTGGTTTCCTGAATGCTTTTGAGTTGTAAAAGTCAAGATGGAGAAGGGGACTGAGTGGGAGAACTGCTGGCTGGTTTAGCTGACCTTTGCAAGACCTGTTTAGAGAATAGAGGGAAAGAAGGCCAATTGAAACCAGGGGTTCTAGGCAGGTGTGGTGGTGCACATCCCAGCACTTGGGAGGTAGAGACAGGCAGATCTTTGTGAGTTTGAGCCAGCCTGGTCTACAAAGCAAGTCCAGGGCTATTACCCAGAGAAACCTGTCTTGGAAAAAAAAAAAAAAAGAAGAAGAAGAAAGAAAGAAAAGAAACTAAGGGTCCTGTCACATGGGAGAAAAATTCTGGGACTAGACTCTTCAGTAGCCATCTCTTCCTAAAGTCCCGTGCCTAAAGGAGTCCCGACTAGTAGAGAGAGATACAGTACCCAGGGCTCACAGGCACTTGGCAGAAGAGTACCAGGCTGGTGCTGAACTAAGGGTTTCTGCTCTTTGAGAGTTTTTCTCATACAGAGAACTATTCACACAAGCCAAAGGGGGCATGGCCATCATTGCAAACACTTAAGAGCACTCTAGGAAAGGAAGACTGGTTGTGAGAGACCTTTGGGAGAGGACTCAACCTTTTCTAGAGGAAGAGGCAGGACAGCCGTTCCCTTCATGTCAGTTCTTTTGCTAACAATAAGATGATAAAATTTAGTATCTTCACTCTCCTAAGAGTATATACTTTTGTAGTTAATCATGGTTGCCTTCTGGGAAGAGAGAACCTCAACTGAGGAGTTAACTCCATCAGATTATCTTGGGGACCTATCTGTGAGCATTGTTTTTGTTTGTTTGCTAATTGATATAGGTAGGCCTAAGCTGTGTAAGAAAGGTAGTTGAAGGAGCCTGGGAGAAAACCAGTGAGCCCCTTTCTCTGGTTTCTGCTTCAAGCTCTTCTTTAGCTTTCCTGGATGGTTGACTATAACCTTTAAGTAAACCCTTTTTCCTCTTTCTTAGTTACGGTTAGTATTGCTTGATGAGTGTGGCCAAAAACAACTTGGGTAAGAAAGGGTTTATTTCACTCACAGTTCTATTTAACAGTTAATTTTCAAATGCAGTGAGAGTAGGAACTTGTGCAGAAACTTGGAGGCAGGAGCTGACACAGAGACCATGGAGGGGCGCTCCTCACTGGCTTGTTCTCCATGGCTTGTTCAGCCTGCTTTCTATTTGAACCCAGGACCACTGACCTACCCAGAATGGGCTAGGCCTTTCCGCATCAATCACTACTTAAGAAAATGCTCTATAGGCTTGGGTACAGCCTGATCTTCTGGAAGCATTTTCTCAGTTGAGGCTTCCTCTGATAACTCTAGCTGTGTCAAGTTGACATAAAACTAGTCATCATACTCTCCTAGTTGCTTTTGGTTGTGGTTATCACAGCATCAGAAACCAAACTTAGACAGAAATTGGTGCCATGAAAGTGGATATTGCTATGGTGGACCTAACAATTTTGGTTGGTGGGAGGATTGTGGAAGCATTTAGAAGTTGGCCAGGAAGTGCTCAGAGTTTAAAGAGCTGTAGCTTAAAAGATAAGAAAGAATGTTAGCTAGGTATGGTGTTGTACATCTTTGATCCCAGCACTCAGGCAGAGACAGGCAGATCTCTGAGTTCGAGGCCAGCCTGATCTACAGAATCCAGGAAAGCCAAGGCTACACAGAGAACTCTGTCTCAAAAAAACAAAATACATAGGTAGGGAGGTAAAATAAGATAAGACTGTTATGGGAAGCCAGGCATGGTGGTACAGGACTTGGGAGGAACAAGCAAGGGGATCTCTGAGTTCTAGGACAGCATGGTTACACAGAGAAACCCTGCCTCCATTGGGGAAAATGTTGAGAGAAATCAAGGGTTGGCTTGTGAAGTTTTGGAGGGAGATAAAGACTTTTATCGGGGCTATCTTGTGATATATTTAAAATTTAAAGATCTATAGGTGAGCTGGGCATGGTGGCACATACCTTTAATTTCAGCACTCTGGGGCAAGAGGCAGTTGGATCTCTGTGAGTTGGAGGCCATCCTGGTCTACAAAGCCACCACCTGCCAGCTGAGGGGTCATGCTTTCAAGCAATATTCTTCTATGGCTCCTACCTTGAGTAGTTCCTCCTTTGGCTTTGTCCAGTGATATAGTGGCACATGTGTGCCTTCCCCACCCCCATTATATATACACTAGTTAATACTTAATAAGAGGAAGCTAGAATTAGATCTTAAGTGAGTAGAGTGCTTGCCTAGCATACATGAAGCCCTCAAATACCAGGCACAGTGGCATATGCTGCACCCAGAAGGTGGAAGGAAGAGGATTAGGAGTTCAAAATTTTAAAAAAAAGTTCCTTTGTGTAGTCTTGGCTGTCCTGGGCTCACTTTATAGACCTGGCCGGCCTCAAACTCACAGTGATCCCCCTGCCTCTACCTCCCTGAGTGCTGGGATTAAAGGCATGCACCATTATTCCCATTGCTACATATAGTAAATTTGAGGCTAGCCTGGATTACTTGAGTCTGAAGTATGCATTGTGGCCTACAAATCAGATATGGGTACAGTTGATTGATTATTGGATGAGGAAACCTAGAAGCCTTATAGGCATGATACCTGCCAGATGATCAGGGAGGTCAAAGCAGGCATATGCCTGATAGTCCTGGAAACTTGACTAGATAAGGGGTAGTGTACGGGTGAGAATGTAGTGCCAGGCATCTTAGCTGTGTGCCTGTGCTGGTCTGTTAGAATCTGATGGGGAGGTAATCCCCTCATGCACCCCACAGAGGTGTGTTCTGAGCATCATCAGCCCTAGCATCTTCACAGCACATTCCCCTTTCTGCAGTAACCCAACAGGAAAAGACGCCGCTACTTAGACCTAACCTGCTGGAAGCAGGTGTCGAAGCCTGTGAGGAGCCCAAGCAGCAAGTGTCATGGGAGCAGGAATTCCTGGTGGGAAACAGCCCAGGAGGCAGTGGAAGGGCGCTGTGCATGGTGTGTGGGGCTGAGATCCGGTCCCCATCAGCAGACACTGCTCGCACACATATCCTGGAGCAGCATCCCCATACCCTGGACCTGAGCCCCTCTGAGAAGAACAACATCTTGGAAGCCTGGAGCGAAGGGGTGGCCCTTCTGCAAGATGTCCAAGCTGACCAGCCATCTCTGCCCAGCCTAGGTAGTGAGGGTGAGGGCTGAGGGAGAAGTGGGGCCTATGGGTGCCCTTCGGCTCAGTGGGCTTTTGCCCCCTCAGAGTCAGGCCAGGATGACCAGCCAGATCCCATCTCCAACCCGGATCCTGCCAGGATGCCAGCAGAGATCGTAGTTCTCTTGGACTCTGAGGACAACCCATCCCTCCCTAAGAGGCTCCGACCCAGAGGACTCCGCCCCCTTGAGCTGCCTGGTCAGTCAACAGGGGAACTGAGGCTTAGTGGGAGACCCTGTGCTGTATACGGGCTGGGGTGGGCAGGTGTTCTCTGGAGCCTGAGGTTAAAGAGCTCAGGCATAGTGGCCTTTAAGTGCTAAAGTTTTTTCCTTTTGCAGTTGCCCCTGTCACAGGGCCAGGAAATAAAAGGCCTCGTGGTCAGAGATGGAAAGAGTCCCCTGAGGAGCCTGCTAGAAAGAAGAGAAGCAGGCATATGACGAAAAACCTGGCCCCTGACCCAGGTGAGGGGATTTAGGGGTGCTGAGCCTGACTGGAAGTCCATAAGGAAGTGGACAGGCAGAGGGCACCTGCATGCTGCTCAGCTGAAGCTTAGGGCTTTAGCATTTGGGTTCTGGCCTCTTTTCACAGTTCTACATGGCCTTCTTTTAGACCCCCCATCTCCTGAGTCATCCACAGAGACGTTTGCAGCACCAGCTGAAGTCCGACACTTCACTGATGGCAGCTTCCCTCCTGGCTTCGTCCTTCAGCTCTTCTCCCACACTCAGCTCAGGACCACAGACAATAAGGACTCTTCTAAAGACCGCAGAGCAGCAGCAGAGGGCCTGCCCCAGCCACCAAGTCCATCTTCAGGTGAGCCCTCCTGGGAGGGGCTGACGAGGAAAGCTGAGTCCCTGGATCACAGCCAGAGCCAGGGTAGAGGTGCTTGATGTTTAGGACTCTAAGAGAAGGCCAAGGACAGAAGGGTTTGAAGAAGCTGGCCTCTGAGCTGAGCATCTCTGGGGGTGGTCATTAGGTTGTACTAGGCCTCCCAAAACTTGGTGCCCAACTTCGGCTGGAGCCCTTGCAGAACTTACTTCACATTGGTAATAGAGGGTCCAAGTGAGGTGGATACCCAGCTATTTAAACAGGTGTGAGGACCATAGATGTGTGATGAGTATTAAAAGGAAGCTTCATAGTCCAACAGCGCAGTGAATTTCTGTTGACAGCTGGTGCTTATGTTTATAACCTGTCCCACTGACTGAAAAACTTTTATTTATAATTCATTTGGTCCTTATAAACCAAGCATAATCCAATGCTTAAAAGTCTGAGACTGGAGGTCAGCCTAGGTTACAGAGTGAGAACCTATCTTAAAAAAACATCTCTCCCTGGGCTGGAGAGATGGCTCAGCAGTTAAGAGCACTGTCTCCTCTTCCAAAGGACCCAAGTTCAATTCCCAGGACCCATATGCCAGCTCACAACTGTCTGTAATGCCCATTCCAAGGGATCTGACACCTTCATGCTAATGCACATAAAAAGAAAGAAAGAAACAAAGATAGAAAGATAGATAGATAGATAGATAGATAAAAAACCATAAAGGCTACCTTACCTGAGCTTGGACATGGGGCCCAGGGAGATAGATGGCTCATCAGGTGAAGTTACTTGCTGCCGAGGCTAATGACTTTAGTTCAATCCCCAGAACTCACATGCTAGAAGGAGAAAAATGAAGCAGGGGGATCACAAGTTCAAGGGTACCTTGTCTCAAAAACAAAACCAAAAAGACAAACTTAGGAAGAACAAGCAAGGTGGAGAAACCAAGTCTTCCAAAAGCTGCCTCTTTCCACATGGTCTTAGTATCAGTTTTCTGTTCGTAGCTGTACTCGATATATAATGAATTTAATAGCTTAAAACAGCACATTTGCATTTCAGTTCTGGAGGTTGTCAGTTCAAAGTGAGTCTCCCTGGGCCTAAACTCAAGGTATTGGCAGAACTGTACTCCTCTGGCAATTCTGGGAATGATCTGCCGTTCTTGCTTCCATAAATTTTTTTGTTTGGTGGGTTGGGTTTTTGTTGTGGTTGTTTTAAGACAGGTTTTCTCTGTGTAACATTGGCTGTCTTGAACTCTTTGTAGACCAGGTTTCACAGCGATCTGCCTGCCTCTGCCTTTCTGAGTGCAGCGATTAAAGGCGTGCTCCACCACCCCAGGCTCTTGCCTCTGTAAGTTACCTACGTTCATTGGCTTGTGATCTCACATTCTCAAAACCAGCAGTGGCCTGTAGAAGTTCTCAGGTCTGTCTTTTGGTTTTAACTCACTTGCCCCTTTCTCTTACTTGTTTAAAACAAAACAAACAGCTGGGTGTGTGGTGGCCTGTACTTTAATCTCTATGAGTTCAAAGCCAGCCTGATCTACATAGTAATTTCCAGGACAGCCAGAGAAAATAGTGAGACCCTGACTCAAAAAAACTGAACCACAACAACAAAAGACCCTTGTGATTTTATTTTATTCATTCATTTATTTGTTCATTTTTTGACAGGGTCTCTCTACATAGCCCTGGCTGTCCTGGAATTAAATATGTAGACCAGGCTGGCCTCAAACACACAGAAATACACTTGCCTCTGCCTTCCCAGTACCTCCACACCCAGCTACCATTGTGAATATCTTTTATTATTTATGCAGTACCTGGGTAGAACCTCGTATGTCTTCCACCTGCTAGCCACTATTCAATCTATTCATTTTAGCTGGTGTATGTGTATCTGTGTGTGTGTGTCTGTGTTTTGAGATAGGGTTTCACTATATAGCTCTGGCTGTCCTGCAACTCACCATGTAGACCAGGCTAGCCTCGATTCATTTGAGATCTCCCTGCCTCTGCCTCCTGAGTGCTGGGATTAAAGGCATTTGCTACCATGTCCAGCTCTTTAATTTTATTTTGGAAGCCTTTTAAAAGATTTCTTTTTGTAGCTGGGCAGTGTAGCATATTCCTTTGCTCCCAGCACTCTGGAGGCAGAGGCAAGGTGGAATTCCATGAGTTCAAGGCTAGCCTGGTCTATAGCGCTAGTTCTAAGACAGCTGAGGCTATATAAAGAAACCTGTCTCAAAAAATTTTTTAATATTTTAAATTATGTGTATGAGTTTGTGTGTGGTTATATGCATGAGAGTGCCAGTACCCATGGAGGTATTGGAGGCTGGAGGTGTTGGATTCCCTGGAGCTGGAGTTACAGATGTCTGTGAGCCACTGTACATACGGAGAATCAAACTCATGTCTTTTAAGAGCAGTGTACACTTTTAAACACTGAGCCGGCTATCTAGCCCCAGTTCTTTCTGCCACCAGTAAAGACTGCCATGCCCTCCAGGGAGTAGAGGCTGAGCCTGATTCTTCCTCTCATCCTCATATTGACTTCAGATTTCAGCATCTCCGGATAAGAAACTGCTTTGTGAATGAGGGATTGTGTCCCCCAGGGAGTGTTTAGACCCTTGTCTCAACAGATTGGAATTGTGTCATTAATGTACTTTTGGAGCTGGGATAAGTAAAGCAGCTGTAGGTCCAGGCTTGGGGCTTGCAAAGAGGAGGTGAGCTTTCAGTATAGAAGCAAGCAAATATATCACTTCCTTTGCCAGGTCTCCAGTAGTACCCACTTTTAGTAGTTTGGTCATACCCTTCTTCATCAGAGCTCTGTAGAGGAATACACCATGTGCCTCTATTTATCAAAATGGTCTCCTTCACTCCTCTTAAGACAGGTCTCATTCCTACGCTTGAATCAGATTTAATGGTTTCGAGCTCTAGCTTGAGTCCCATTCTAGTCCTCTCCCTGGGCCAACTTGTCCTGCTTGGAGTAGTAGCATTGGTTCTCGGCTTCCTGGATCAACCTCGGATCTTCTGTTTCATGCTTGAAGGGCTCCTTCATTTTGAGTCTTGGGGTGTCCTGTGCCCAGTGCTAAGTCGAGAAGCAAAGTGGAAGGGTCAGGGCATCAGAGATGATGGTGAAGGAAGAGAATGGGACAGAAGAGGTGACTGTCATGATAATGTGGAGCCATGGCAGAGCCTCTGGTGGTTTCTTGTTTTTAGAACCCAGAGCTTTGACAGTCCCGGGGTACAGTCCTAGGGCTTTCAAGGATCCTGCTTGAGGTTTAAGACATAAAGACATCTATATAGTCTAAGGCTGTTGGCCTTCTGCTGGGGCAGCATCTCTGGCTAGCTTATAACTTAACTCCTCTGCCTTTGTGTCTCTCCAGGTGGTTCTTACTGCCTGCTTCCTTCTGCTTCTCTGTCCCAGCTTCGGCTGGCAGCTCTTTATTATGCAAAAAGCCACATTCCTTACTCCACATGTTGGCCTTGGGGGTCAAGTGGGGGTTTCCACTGCACCTTGTCTTTTAAAGGCAAGTAAGGAAGTGATATTTACATATTCTGCAGTCAGGCACTGCCAGCTTCAATTAACAGTTAAAAATACAGGGTCACTTTTCAGTTGAAAACACAAGGACACATTTTTATCGTAAGAAAACAGAATATTTGTATGTCCTCCCAACAGTACAGTTTCCATATAAGTAAAGTTCCTACTTTGAAGAGAAAAAGAATAACAATCATGGATATAGAAGCTAAAAAAGCTCACTGTTGCCAGCTGAACTAATGAATTGCCTTTGTGGCAGCTGTCTGGGAAAATTTTCTGGAACTTTCCAAGAGGCTTGCTTTCAGTTTAGGAGTAAAGGAGTTTCCAAACCAGTAGAAAAGTAAACTATGAAGCTGGTCTGTCATTTGTTGAGGTGGGAGTTCTGCTTTCTGGGAAGAGGGGTTGGAACTGGTTTTTACTGTATTGACCCAGTTTGCTTAGAACCTCATAATGGGTGATTTTTTTTTTCTTGCCTCAGTTCCCAAGTGCTTAGAGTACAATTGTGAGCTACTGTACAGTGCCTGGATTTTTGAGACAGGGTCTTCTATAACCCACGCTGGCCTCAAACTATGTAACCAAGGCTGGCATTGAACTCATGTTCCAAATGCTGACCCAGAAAGCTGGTCGCCACAGCCACAGGCAAAATACTTCCAGGCTGAACTGAGCAGAGAATGCAGTGAGAGAAAGTGAGGCGCCCACTCATGGAAATGTGAGCCTCAGAAAGTTCTTCAGTTTGGCTCACTTTTGTGGCCTTAGCACCTAGAATGGTACCTGATGTAAAGTTCTTGGGCTCGAAATTACTATCTGCTCTTGCCTGTCATCTAGGTGGTGTGGCATTTCCAACATTCCTGCCTAGGGATTGTCCTTAGTGACACATTTGAAGGAGGATTGGGTGGTAAGTGAGAGTTGGAGCAGGCCACTCAGGAAGAAACCTGTTCTAGGGCCCAAGAGTGAAATGGACTCAGTTTGTCACAAAGACTGGTAATCAATCCTCCCAGCTTTTCTTCCTTATTTGTTAAGCTTTTTTTAAATTTCATTTTATTTACTTATGGGAGGGCACTACTGTATGGGTTCTGGGGTTGAACTCGGCTCAGTATGTTCAGTGGCTCCCAGCTTACTTTCTGTGGCTTTAGGGTTTTGGTCTCTGTCACATCAGGCTTTGCTATCCTGGCCTTTTATCTTGATCCTCTGCCCCTTGTCACCTAGAAGAGTCGGCAGCTTGAGGAGTCCCCATCTCTGGACCCTTAATTGAATTCTGAGTTTCCCCTAATGTGCTCATGAAAGTAGAGCACAGGAAGTTCTATGGTTTTGTTTCATAGAAAGGGAAACTGTGAGCTAGGCATTGTAATAGTACACACCTGTAGTTTTAGTCTCTGCCTTTGAGTTCAGGTGCCTGATGCCAGCCTGGGCAAAGTAGCTAGACCACACCTCAAAAGAAAAGCCAGGACCTGGAGAGGTGGCTCAAGAGGGTAAAACACTTGCTATACAAACCAGACCTGAGTTTGATGCCTAGATCCCACTATTAGAAGAACACCAAGGTGGACGGGGTGCTCCATACCTTAATCCCAACACGGAGGAAGCAGAGGCAGGTAGATCCCTGTGAGCTGGCAGTAAGCTGGGGCTACACTGCGAAACCCTGTCTCAAAAAACCAAAAAAAAGGAGAACACCAACTCTGACCTACACTCATACCTCAATTCATCCATAGCTCTTCTACCTACAATAATACTAATTTTTAAAAAACCCTGACCATTTGCATGTGAAGGTGTATGGACAGAGGGGTATACTGTGGTACACATTACAGCTTCCACGATGAGATGTTTTTGTTTTTTTTTTTTTTTGAGGGGGGAGGGCATTGCAAGGGCAGATACGAGAGGACCTGGAGATGAGTGGGACTGGGGTTCATCATGTGAAACTTTCAAATAATCAATAAAAGTTTACAAAGTAAAATATAGCCAGGCAGTGGTGCCACATACCTTTAAGCCCAGCACTTGGGAGGCAGAAGCAGGTCAGTCTCTATGCGTTTAAGGCCAGCCTAGTCTATAGAGTGAGTTCTAGGACAGCCAGGGCTACATAGAGAAACCCTGACTTAAAGAAAAATTCTAGTCTGGTCTCTGCACCATACCATTTCTAGTAAATTGCTACATTTGGTTTTCTGCAGCCAAACCATCAGTTATCCTCTTCTATCTCAGCCCCACACCAGTCTATCTGCAAACCTCAGTTTACTCTCCTGTCAACTGCCACTACTCTGACTAATGTTACCCTAACTTTTCCTGGGGAGATGTTGAAGAAATGTCTGCTTAGTCCAGCTGGGACACCAACTCAGACCTTAGTGTTCTGCCACTGAGCTACTACCCCAGCTCCGTTTACTTTTTATTGTGAGACAGGGTCGTTTTCAGTTGCCCACATGGGCCTTGAACTTAATGATCTTCCTGCTCTACCTTCCCATGGGCTAGAATTAAGAGCATGTATGTGGTCCACACCTGGTTTGACAAATCTCTATCTGATTGAACCCAGAGTTTAGACTTGTCTAGGCAAGTCCTCTACCACTGAGCTTGCTGTATTCTCAGCTCTTTTTGGTTTTCTACATAGACTTGGCTTCTTGGAACTCACTATGTACTGTAAACTGGCTGTCCTCAAGCTCAGAGATCCACCTGCCTCTGTCTCTCAAGTTCTGGGGTTAAAGGCTTGGGCCCAGCTGGGCTCAGTGACAGGCCTATAATCCCAGCATTCAAGGAGGCAGAGGCAGGTGGATCTCTGTGAGTTTGAGGCCAGCTGGTCTACAAATCAATTCCAGGACAGCCAAGGCTACACAGAAAAACCAAATAATGATAAAAATATGTGTGGGCCACCATATCTACCTTGTATTCTCATGCATAATTTAAATTCCAGCAAAAATCATACCTGTCTTAAATCACATAGGGAAAAAATTCTTTTAAAAAAATGACTTAAAGTACACATTTAAAGATATTTAAGTACATAGTATGTAGCATTGTTTGATTGCCATTTCCTGTTTGGCTTTTTTTTTTCCTACCTCTTTGATTTTAATATTTATTTATTTATTTTTTTATGTGCTTTGGTGTTTTGCCTGTTTGCACTGTCTACATAAGGGTGTTGTATCCCCTAGAACTGGAGTTACATACAGTTAGGCTGCCATGTAGGTGCTGGGAATTGAACTGTGATCCTCTGGAGGAACAGCTGATACTCTTAACCACTGAACAGTCTCTCCAGCCCTTTTTTTTGTTTTGTTTTGTTTTTCAAGATAGGGTTTCTTCCTGTAGCCCTGGCTACAGGAAGAGTGTCCTGACACTCTGTCAACTATGCTGGCCTCAAACTCACAGAGATCCACCTGCCCCTGTCCCTGCCCCTGCCCCTGCCCCTGCCCCTGCCCCTGCCTCCCTCCTGAGTGCTGGGATCAAAGGCATGCACCACCACTGCCCAGCATTTTTTCTATTTTGAGGCAGTCTTATTGCAGTGGTTGGACTTGAAGCTTTTGAGGTTTGGTTTTGTTTTGTTTTGTTTTGTTTTAGATCAGGCTGGTTCCCCCAATTTATTGTTTTTATTTTATGTTCATTGGTGTTTTGCCTGCATGTATATCTGTGTGAGGGTGTCAGAAGCCCTGCAACTGGAGTTGTAGAAAGGTGTGAGCTGCCATGTGGGTTCTGGGAATTGAACTATGGTTCTCTGAAAGAGTAGCCAGTCCCCTTAAACACTGAGCCATCTCTCCAATCCCCAGGTTATACCTAAAAATGACCTTGAACTCCTGGTTGGCCTGCCTCTGCCTCTCAAGTGCTATAATTGCTTTGTCATATCGCTTCCATAGGCCCAAGTTAAGGATTGTTTTGTGTTTCTACCTGCCCTATCTGGAGGTCAACTCCAAGGATGTGGAGCCAGGACGAAGGCTGCTGAGCAAAGCTGAGACACTAACCCAGGGTGTCTTTTTGCTGTGCTGTGCCATGTCACTCCCACGCCATGGGGCTAAAGACATGTATAGACTTCATGGCTGTTCCCTACTGTATCACTTCTATGTCTAGTCTGGAAGGTAGAAAGAAGCAGTTATGGCACCAAACCCAGATGCTGAGTACACAGAGAGGAAGGTGCATTTAGTGCTTGGTCTGTGCCTAAGCTTTGAGGCCAGCCATTCCTGGTCAGTCACAAGTGAGCCTTTATTCTCCTGGGAAAAGATGCTGGACTATGGAAATGAGAAAAGCCCTGGTAGTCTGATATTGTTTGCAATTTGGGGGACCATTGGAAGGCCCTGACTGTGCTCTCTGCTCCCATCCCTTCCCAGCTCCCCCTCCGGGGCTCCGTGGGACACTGGATCTCCAGGTTATCCGTGTTCGAATGGAGGAGCCACCAGCCGTCAGCCTCTTACAGGACTGGTCCAAGCACCCCCAGGGCACCAAAGGGGTGGGAACAGGTGACAACCCAGGCTGGCCTACAGTTCTATCAGAATCCAGTGCCACTGTAAAGGGACAACCAGAGGCAGGAAGTGGGATATAAGTTTTCAGTTTCCTGAGGAGGGTATGGGTGGGAGGAGGGACAGGTGGGAGGGAGGAGGCAGTTACCCCCTTTGGCTTAAATCTCAGATCTGCCCAGCTTGGCTACCTGATGGAGAGTTTTAAAACTAGGCGCCAGGACAATGTGGAGGGGGGAGGAGTGACATCACTGTCACATTGGGGTACTAAAAAGTGCCTGCCCCTGGCCAAGCCTGAGGTAGGCAGAGGTAGCTTAGGCTGTTGGGTGATAAGGCATTGGGCCTGTGGAGAACACCTTCCCCAATCCTTTGCTGAACTACCCTCTGAACCCCACACCTCCTCCTTCCTCAGTTCTCCACTATTCTCCCCTGGCACAGTGCCTTATGCAGAGGTGGTCATAATGGGGATTGAACTGAGTCCCACTACCTCGGGGGACACCTCTCCTCCCCCACTTCTGGCTCCTAGAGCAGGAGGCCTCCATTACCTGTTAGCACCTCATCCCTGTTGAGGGCTCCCTTTACACCTCATTCACCTGTTGTTCTGTGCATCTATTGTCCTGTTGTATATATTGCCTTTGTTGAAAATAAATTATTTTTTTTTTAATTAAAAGATCTGTCTGGGCTGTCATTGGGGAAAGGGAGGATTCTTAGAGCAGCTTAAGGGACAGGAAAACTGAAAGGTAGTTGTGAGTGGGAGCCAGAGATCCCAGTCTAGGCAGCGGAGCAGTGAGCTCAGAGTAGGGCTTACATGGACCTCTGGACCTGTTTTAACTTGGTGTCAATCAACTGAGAAACACATTTTATTTATTTGACCTACTGATCTAACTGGTAAGCCTCTGTCCAAGCAAATCTTCTATGAGTCTAGGGACATTTCACACCCAGTGAGCTAAGAGTTACTGGGGCCTGACCCTGGCCGCCTGTACAGGCCCCTCCCCTGTGATGAGAAGGTGGCACATGCCTGCTTTCTTGCCGGTCTGTGTACTCTACTACACAGTTCACCCCTGTTTCTCAGCCTCAACCCAAGTCTGCCTCAGGTCTGCAGATTTCCTGCACAGACCTGATCAATAGGCTTTTGCTCTAAAATGAACTTCCCAGGTGGTTTATTCTCAAATCCTCCATTTCACTGTCTGGTTCACCCCACACTGCTGCCTGCTGAGCTGCTCCAGGCAAATCATGGAGACTTAGAGGTAAAGAGGAAGAGTCAGCTGTGCTGTGCTAAGCTTGTGTTTCCTAGGTCAGAGAGCACATACTAGACTACTGAGGACTGGCTCTGTTAAGCCATCTGATGTTCTCAGGAGGAACCCAAAATGTAGAAGGTCCATGTCCAGGGGTGGCAGAGACAGGTGTGAAGTAGAAGAAGGAGTCAAAGGCTGAGGGTACCTCATATCCAGAATGTCCAGCCATTGTGTGAAGAGAGGTGGGCCATAGAACTCCTGGGGTCTATACCTATTTCTACAAGTTGGCACAGTTGTTACGCTCCCTAACAATAACATGGACTGTCTGAAAGCACTGTGTTGGAATTGGAGGCAGTTTCTGCCCCTACAGTTGTGTGTTTACATTTATGCCAAATTGTTTTTATCACATTTTGTCTATCACAAAGTATTGAGGAAATGTATCGAAGCTTGTGTTGTAGTAAAGTGATGACCCAAATGTCCTGTGGTTGTATGGGCCTGATTTGTCCTAGACTGTGAACTCTGTGGGCCAGGGATCAAATTGTATCGACTTGATGTTTCTGGTTCCGTGCATAGGGCCTGGTACATAAGTGCTCAATAAATGTCTGTCAAATGCCATGTTGGTGTTCTGTGTGAGCATTTTCTCATAAAACTAACAACTCAATTGTAATGGCATGTCTGGTACTTTGTATTTGATTTTTAATTTCCCCCCTTTGTAATTTCTCCTTTGTAAACCTTGCCTCCAAAATTAGTCCTAATTGGCTGAATAAATGCCTGGGCAGGATAGGGCAGAATTGAGGTAGGCTTGGCTAAAGTTCTCTGGCTTTGAGGAGAGAAAGATCCCGGGAAGGAGAGACAGGTAGAGAAGGAAGAAGCAGAGTCACCATGGGATAGGCAAAGAACCACATGGGCACTGGGAGCAGGAACGGCATGGGGAGAAGTGGCCCAGAAGGACAGGTATCTGGGGATATTGAATGGGAAGTAGCCCAGATAGGAATAAAGCAAATGGCATGGGATATGAGGTCGAGAGGTAACAAGGTAGATTAGGGGAAATATCTGCCCAGCCCCAGGTGAAACAAGGCTTATTTAAATACAACAGGTGTCTATGTCTTTTATTGATATGGTAGCAGGTTAATAACTGCCATAATAATTATAGGCTTTTAATAATCATTATTAGCCATTTAAAAGTTTTGCATACATTGGTGTTTGACTGCATGTATATCTATGTGAGGGTGTCGGATCCCCTGAAATAGGAGTTACAGACAGTTGTGAGCTGCCATGTTGGTGCTGGGAATTGTACCCAGGTCCTCTGGAAGAGCAGTCAGTGCTCTTATCTGCTGGGCCCTCTCTCCAGCCACAACCATTTTTATTTTCTACAACACTCAATTTTGGGTTGGGGGGGTTGTTTTGTTTTGTTTTTGAGATATTCTTTGGCTGTTTCAAACTCATGATCATCCTCCCAAGCGCTGAGATTATAGGTGTTCTCCACTATGCTCAGCCTAAAACAGTTCAGTTACAACAGTAAACAACACAACACCCTTCAGCGTGAGGGAGGGGCTCAGTGTCTTTGAGGTTGTCCTTAAAACCAACTAGCTTCAAACTGAGAGTTCCTACAACCACCCCCTCCTTGTTGGTTAATCTGATAGGAGGGGCTGGTAAGTTGGCACATGCCATGCCAAGTTTCTTTGCTTTCTACAACTTAGATGGTGGAAGAAGACTTCTAGAAGTTCTCCTCTGAGTTCTGTGTACCTGGCACACAAGAATCATGGCACTGGGGAGGCAGAGGCAGGCAGATCTCTTGAGTTTGAGGCCTGCGCGGTCTACAGAGCAAATTCTAAGATGTCCAGGGATACATACACAGAGAAACTCTGTCTCAACCCCCCCCCCAAAAAAAGTGTGCTGTTCTTTAACAGCAGCACCCACCTGTAATTCCAGCACTCTGGCAGGCAGAGGCAGGAGGATCTCTGAGTTTGAGGCTAGCCTGGTCAACAAAGCCAATCTAGAACAGCCAAAGCTACACAGAGAAACCCTGTCTTGGGGGTGGAGGAAAGGACATCAACACTCACATCCAATTATGCCCTATGCAACTCCAGCTCTAAGGGATCTGACACTCTTGCTGTGCACACACACAAGACAAAAGTAATTTTCTATACAAATATTTTTTTAATTTTATGTACATTTGTCTTTTGCCTGCATGAATGTCTGTGTAATGGTGCCAAATCATTTGGAGCTGGATCACAGACAGTTGTGAGCTGCCATGTAAGTGCTAGGATTGAGCCCAGGTCTTCTGGAAGAGCAGCCAATGAGTGTTCTTCACTGAGCCATCTCTCTAGACCCCCAATAGAAGTAATTTTTAAAACTTAAAACCAAACAGGGCTGGAGAGATGGCTCTGTTTTAAAGAACTTGCTGCTCTTCCAGAGGACCTGAGTTTGGTTCCCAGTACCCACATCTGGTGGCTTACAATGGCCTGTAGCTCCAGCTCTAAGGGAACCTAATAGCCTTCTGGCCTCCATGGACACCTGCATTCATGGAATACATATACATATCCATAAATTTTTGGAATGTCTGTGAGGTCTCACGTAATGCAAGAAGTGTGTACTTGGTTTGCTGAGTTTATTATGGAATACACAGCCAAGACTATGAACAGCGTGGGAGTGTCTGTCCTAGCAGGCGTCCGATGTGTTGCCCTGCTGGCAAACGGGCTTCCAGGGAAAAATGGAGAGAGTGGGGCTGAGGGCCTAATAGGAGCCTCTGGGGCTCCTCCCTGTGTGATTCATAATTCTAGTGCCCTATCAGCCCCACCTGCCTGTGGCTAAGCTACTGTTGTCTCTGCCATTACCCAGTTCTGAGCTCTCAGGTATTCAAACTCTTGCCGTCAGTTCTGCATCCACTGCTGAGACTGACCCTTAAATTCTAAACAGCCACACCTAAAAGATGAAGATGTTAACTGCTAAATAATCTTTAAATATGCTTTTTTACGGAGCTGGGTGTGATACCACATACCATTAATTCCAGCACTCAGGGAGAACCGGAGAACTGGGGCTGTGAGTTCAAGGTCAGGCTGGTATACAAATGGAGTCCAGGACAGCCAAGGATACACAGAAAAGCCCTGTCTCGAAAAGTTTAAAAAACAAAAACAAAAAAACCTGACTTTTTTTTTTTTTTTTAATGTGTATGAGTGTTTTGTTTTGATGTGTGTTTCTATGCCATGTGCATGTGCAGTGCCTGAGGAAACAAGAAGAGGTCATGAAATCAGGAGTTAAAAAAGTGTTGTGAAGGGCTAGAGAAATGGTTAAGAGTATTGACTGCTTTTCCAGAGGCCCTGAGTTCAGCTCCCAGAAAACGCATGATGGCTCACAACCATCTATAATGAGATCTGATGCCCTCTTCTGGCATGCAGATGTACATGCAGATAGAGTGCTCATATACATAAAATAAACAAATCTTAGCCAGGCAGTGGTGCCTCATGCCTTTAATCCCAGCACTTGAGAAGCAGAGGCATGTGGATCTCTGTGAGTTCCAGCCAGCCTGGTCTAGATTGAGTTCCAGGACAGGACAGCCAAGGCTACACAAAGAAACCCTGTTTTGAAAAACTGGAGGAAAAAAAAAAGGGTTGTGAGCTGACATGTGGGATGTGCTAGAAAGGCTGCACCCTGGAAGAGCCAGTCAGCGCTCTTACCCAGTGAGTGCTCTTTCCAGCCCCTAAATATTTCTTTAGAGTCGTAGAGCCTGGAGTCTAATGAAAGTGAGTGAGGTTTCTCTCTGTCATGTGCATGGAGGACACAGCTGCATAGAGTAAGTGGCAGGAGGGTTTAGCTTGCAGAAGAGTAAGGCTTATAGTTGCCACAGGAGGTGACAGAGGGAAAAGAGGGCCCACCTTGAATGGAGAAGAGGAAACCACTCAGCAAGAGACTTTCCGGCCTTTGTCCCACTGCTTCCCTACCTTTCCCCCAACCCATCTTCCCCGAGATGGTGTCTGAGGGTTTGGGGGAAGATGCTGTTCACCTACATCAGTCATGAGCTCTGCTTTGACTAAGAAGTGCAAAGGAGAAGAGGAAGTGCTTGCCTAACCCCCCCCCCAAAAAAAAAAAAAAAAAAAAAAAAAAAAAAAAGATAGGGTTTGTATATAGCCTTGTTTGTCCTGGACTCCCTTTGTAGACCAGGCTGGCCTCAGACTCACAGAGATCCACCTGCCTCTGCCTCCCTGACTGCTGAGATTGAAGGCCTGTGCCACCATACCCCAGCTTTGTCTAGTTTTGATAAGGAAAAAAAAAATGGAAAAACATTTTCACACATACTTTTAATCCCAGCACTGGGGAGGCAGAGGCAGGCTAGTCTATATAGTTCCAGACCTGCTATATAGTGAGACCCTGTCCTGAAACAAAATTGCTCACAGAAGATAGGGTTGGAATGGAAAAGGGGCTTTTAACCTCCCGGTGTGCACAGAAGTTTTGGAAATATTCATCCAGCTCACCTCCCAGAGGCCGTATAAGCAAGGGAGCATGGGGTGAAAGCTCAAGGCTTTCACAATACTGAGTGCCCTAGTTGCATTCTGGGAATGAATGTGCCAACCTCCAAAGAAAGAAGACAAATAGGCCTTTGCTCCTCCCAACACCAGAATCAATGTCTCATCGTTGGAACCCCACATCTGTCCCAGCTGGTGACAGGATGACCACAAACAGTAGTGAGGGACCCCAGGAACAGACACTGCTAGGATCCTTGGGACAAAGGCAGAGCACCTACCCTAGTTTTGTCATGAGTCACCCTATATTGTGCCCATTGCACAGGTAAGGAAACTGAGGCATAAGGAGAGGAACATGGTGACTTGTCTGCCAGGGCTAGTAAAAGGATGGGAACCTCAAACCCAGACCATCTCTGTCTTCAGTGCCTGCTGTTGTCTTCTGGTCCTGGCACTTAGTCATACTCTGCCTGGCAGGGCCCCTGGAAGGACTCACTATAGGTGTAAAACGATGGTCATCTTGGCCAGGTGACAGTGGCTGGGCGCCAAGCCCAGGGCTTTAGGGGAGGGCATCCCATGACCTATCCCCTTTCTCTAGAAAATAGCTCTAGGGCCTGGGTAACTTTGCCCGGCTCTGGTCTCCCTCTGCCATCTCTGCCCCTGGTTCAGCCTGGCTTTCTGGAAGGTACAGAAACAATGACTAACTAGTATAATCACATCACACAGGGCAGGGCATAGTTAGTGGTGGGATCTCCTATTCTGGACTCTGATCTGTCCCCTCCATACTCTCTTGCTACTATTTACTTACCATGACACCCACATTTTCCTGGGGGAGCAATTTGCCTCTGAGAAAAGTACCCACAGACTTGCACACAGCAGCTCACAGAAGTGGGACAGTTGGTAGGAATAGCTGTGTATTGATAATGTTCCCAGTTCACACTTAAGAGCTTCACTCACTGGGTTCAGTCTGAGCTGCTGAAATATAAGTGCTCCAGAGTGACTCCTCTATGCCAAAGGGTTCTAGACATTAAGAGTAGAGCTAGGAGGGAGCCAGACACACCCCATATCCTGGGGAAGACCAGGTAAACAGAAATACATGCTATGGAAAAAACTTGTTTGAAGAAACAGCACTTTTTTGTTGCTGTTTATTTG